TCCTCTGACCTACATACATATCGGGAGACCGACAGACAGAAAGAGAGAGAAGGGGGGGGGAAGACAGAGACTCTCTTAATTTGTATTCTTAAACTATGCCTTGTTTGAAAGCTTAGGCAAGTTATAGTACCTCTAGATGTCTTAGGTTTCAGTTGTGAAAAGTAGATATAACTGTGATAGATCATGTAAAGCACTTATGTTAATCACACAGTAAGTGCTCAATACATATGTGTCTTTTGTTACTAACAAGATGTTTCTACACAGTTATCAAGTGGTATCTCTGAATACTTCTCATTGGCAGTGTTTTAGTAAAGTTCTAGGTTTAGAGCCAGTGAGAGTTCAATCCCTGGAACCCACCCACATAAAGGTAGCAGAGAACTGACTCTACAAAGTTGACCTCTATATATGCTCCGTGACATATATGCCCACACTCACATATCATATACACATACACTATCTTAAAAAAAAAATTCCAGGGCTGGAGTGTAGTGAGGTAGTCCTTCTGTAGCACTGACCATGCCCATTGGGGGGTGGAGCGATGGGCGGAGGTGACCTGAGGAAGGAGGTCGGAGGGGGCCAGGAAGGCGCTCTCTCTTTCTGGCGTGACTCAGACAGGAGAGGATTGGGTTGAATTTCCTGGTGTTCATCTGTCTAGGTTGTAAGTTATTTCTCCCTGAATAAACATCTATTCGGCCTATTTGTTTATCCTGATCCTTATTTACCGCAATACTGGAGAGATGGCTCAGAGGTTAAGAGCACTGGCTGCTTTTCCAGAGGTTCTGAGTTCAATTCCCAGCAACCATATGGTGGCTCACAACCATCTGTAATGAGATCTGGTGCCCTGTTCTGGCCTGCAGGGATACATGCAGACAGAACACTGACTACATAATAAATATTAAAAATAAAATAAAAAAATTCTTGTGTTCTTGTGTATGTGTTAGTGTGTTCTCTTCTGGCATGTAAGGAGAACACTATATATATAGTAAATAAATCTTTAAAATTCCAGCTTAGGCTTAATTATCCTGAAATAGTAAACTGCACTTTGAAGTTTTCATATATTTCATAACACAGAGCCAAAATTGTAGTTTAGTTTTTTTCCTCTGTCCTTCTGTGCCCTATGTTCCCTTCTCTCTTCTTGGGGGGGGGGTAAAGAGAGGGAGAGAGAATAAGAATGTCACTGTAGCCCAGGTTGGCCTTGAATCACAGCTGGGATTACAGGCACAAACCATTATGTTTGGCTCTGAACCTGTGTTTTAAAATCAATGTTGCCAATTTAGTTTCAGCAAAACACTATCATGTTACATCAGGGCTTCTCAGTCAGGGGCAATTTTATTTCTAGAGGGTATTTGTCAATGTCTAAAACTACTTTTGGCTGTCACAATTGAAGGGACAATCACTTAGGAGGAGACACTACAAATGCTATTTATATGCTTTACATAGTCACCCCCCCCACACACACACAACGAAGAATTATCCCATTTAAATTGTCTGCTGTACAGTACAGTAAGATGAAAAATCCTGCAGTATGGGGCTGGAGAGATGGCTCAGCAGTTAAAGCATGTGCTGCTCTTCCAGAGGACCCTGGCTTGACTCCCAGCACCCACATGGTGGTTCCAGTTCCTAGAGATTCAATGCCCTCTTCTGGCCTTCACAGGCACCAGACATGCATGTGGCACACAGACACACACGCAGATAAAATATGCCACAATCATTAAATTTAAAAAACAATCCTGCATTAAAGTATGTGTACTTGAATCTACTGACATGGTAGTTTTGTTTACATTTATTTTGTTATTCTCCAGGGCTGAAGGTCCAACCCAGGGCCTCACGAATAATCCAGGAATGTTTGACCATTGAGCTGTACGTTGGCTTTACAGCTTTGTAAAACCAAAATCTTTGTGTTTATATGTAGTTCCATGCAGCCATATATTCAATAGCAGTTAAATGACTTTCATAAACCTTGGGTAGTCACAATAGTTCTTTTTAATTAAATGTGAAAATATTGTCCTGTGGAAAGTTTACAGTATATGCTGTTTTTGTCTTTTCCCACAAATATATGACCATCTACTATGTGGCAGACACTGCTAAGTGCTCTGGGTAAATGGAAATCTCTGCAGAAGAAGCAGTATAGCCAGGTGGCAGCAATAACAAGTGATGAACTAACTGTGCAAAGTCTGAGAAAGCAAACAAATGTCGGTTATAAAGAAGAAAGGCACAAGAGTACTGAAACACATGGCCACAAAACTCTTCCCAAGAGTAAGAGTAAGGCTGAGGCCTTACCAATGAAAGGATGAAAATGTCTGTTTCAAGCCTTTATAACAAAGGAAAGAGACATACTCGTGGCCCTCACTGCAGCCTTCCCAGCCATCTTTGCCATACTCTGGGTATCATTTGCTTTTATTTCAAATGTCAGTCAAGCACCCACAAATTGTGTCAGTCTTCAAAGGTATACATACAAAAATTGTGAAGCACACACTTCTAAATCCTAAATTCACATTCATAAGGAATAATAGAAATCTGTTCAATTTGTGTTTTATGGGTGAAGAAAGGACCTTTCTGATCCTCCAAGGCCTATACTGCCAGTCCTATGTGATCAGATCTTAATTCCTAGGACTGCCACAAGTCAACACAAAGTTCTCCAAGCTTCCGTTTTATTCATTCATAAGCTGGGACAATCAATACTTAAGTTACTAGGTTATCGAGAACACCAGGCATCATTACTGAAAGCTGAATATGCTAGCAGTTCCGACAGTAGAGCCAGAGAGACCTGTGTTCAAGACTAAGCTATATAAGCCGGGAGGTGGTGGCACACGCCTTAAATCCCAGCACTTGGGAGGCAGAGGCAGGTGGATCTCTCTGAGTTTGAGGCCAGCCTGGTCTATAGAGCAAGTTCCTGGACAGGCTCATAAGCTACAGAGAAACCCTGTCTCGAAAAGCAAAAACAAACACGAAAAAGTAAGCTATACTAATGAACAGTTATACGACACTGGAAGTTCACTTTCTGAACTAGATCGTTGTGATGATTCGATGACATATAATGCACACTGCACTATACTCACGCTATCCCTGTCCTAGTTAGGTTTCTGTTGCTGTGACAAAAGAGGAAAGTGTTTATTTCAGTTTACAATCCTTCATGAAGGGAAAACAGGCTGAATCTCCAATCCCCAAGCCTAATTATTCAACAGTCTGATTAGAAAATGGTATTCAAATTTCCTTAGATTGGAGCGATTATCGCTGTTTTCCTGTTTTATCAAAGAGAAGCATAAAGTGCCACAGTTACAGTTCCGGGGAAAGGCCATTCTCCAGACATAGAAGAGACTGCAGAGGAATGCTGCTTATTGGCTAGCTCCACCTGACAGACAGAACCTGCTTTCTGCAACAAACCAAGACCACCGGCTGAGGGGACTCAGCCTGCACTGGGTCCTTCCACAGCAATCGTGAATCAAGAACATGCAATACAGACTTGCCCACAGGCCAATATCACCGGCATTTTCTTAATTAAGTTTCCCTCTTCTCTAGCTTGTCAAGTTAGAAATGGAGGGAGGGATGGAGGGAAGAGAAAGAAGAGAAGGAGAGAAGAACTAATCAACAAATTCCTCTCATACTTTTCTGATTACAGAAAAAGCTCTTTCAAATAAGTTCTTAACCTGGTACAGAAATTTCCGAAGAAAGGAGGGAAACGCCATACGCTTACAAATTCAGTTTTTAAACTAACACAATTCACTGAGTGTTTACAGTGTCTTGAGCTCCGTGTGTATATTTCCACTATTTTCAAAAGTCAGTTTGAAAACAATGCAAGCGTGAATACACAGGGATACCTTACTCCCCTTTTAACAATAAACTATCATTTAATTCCAGATACACATTTAGGGATTCACAGTTTAACAGTAACTTTATATGCAGTAAAAAGAAGTACAGTTCTACCCACTCCCAGTGGTTCCCTGGCCCGGGATTCGGGGACCAAAGGCGGAGCTATGTCGGGTTGGCCCTCGGTTTCTGACCGCTCGCAGGCTCAGTCAGTCGGCGTCCCCGTGCCCTGCCCCTCCGTACCTGCAGGCCACTCCGCTTGTTCCAGGTGAAAATGGACCCTGGGTACCCACTCAGAGCCAAGAGCAGTTCGTGAATCATCTCTGGGGCGGCCTCGGAATCCCCAGACCTACCACCTCCTCTTTCAGCGCCTCCTTGGCGCCCACTCACACCCAACTCAGTCGCGTGCCCAGAAACCCAGCAGATGAGCGCGCGGAGCCGTCACGGGGCTGCGTGCCGCGTCCCGGAAGTGCGCGCGGCTCAGAAGCGCCCACCCGCTCGCTCCCGCGGAGCTCAGAAGAGGCGCCAGACGCGCCGTCGCGCATGCGTCTTGGGTGCCCGGAGTGGCCCGCTCGGACTTCCGGCTCCAGAGCCGGACTGGGGCTGCTGAGAGGGGGAGGGGGGGCAAGACTGGTCTTAGCCAGACCGGAGTGGTTGAGGCTGGCCCGGGGACAGGGTTTCCAGTGAGTTGACCCGCAGGTTGAGAGAGACGCGGCCAGGGGTGGGCCGGAGGGAATCCTCAGGACGCCTTGTCAGGGTGTGTGGCATTTTGACCGACTGCACGACGTCTCCCAGAGTGACCCGGCCAGAGGGGACAAAGAGGCCGGAACTTGGCAGCCGCCTCTATGGAGCGGCGCTAGGAGCCCATTTTGAGCTCGCAGCACTGACCAGCACTGGCATCCTTTCGGCTTCCCTCGCTTCACCAACTCCTGTGACTCTTCCAGAAGCCCACTTGACATTAGAAGCCCGAGTCAGCTCCCGCGGTGGGTGAATTTCCCATCTGTCTCTCCCGAACTCTTGCTGAGTTCTTACTTCGTCTGGGAGGGGTAAACAGGAGATCCAACAGCATTAAGCACTTGATTTTGGTTCCCGCTGGAAAATCTTAATTTGGCGTTCAAGGGGCGGGGCTGCCAGCAGGGGCTCGGGGGAAGATTAGCGGCCGCCCGCTGGACAGGCTTTTGTGATCTTCAACCAAATGTTGACTTACCTTTAGAGCCCATCAGACTTTTCGTGCGGTTCGAATTCACTCTACAACTTTAATCTGGGGCGCTAAATGCGATCAGATTTATTTAGGTGAGCGTGAAGCAGATGGGATTTTCTATTCTCTACGACTTCCTGGGAATGCTGTAGTCGCCACCAGAAATGGAGCTTTTGAAAGGTCATTTTCTCTTTGCTCATTGATTTGCTATCCTGAAACGGCACTACCTCAGAAGACCACTTGGAGCATATGGGAAGTCAGGCCGGCTCTAGCAAGACCTTCAACATGTGAAGATATTCCCATTTCTCTCTAGGAAGAACCTCCTCTTTTTCAGAGAGACTCGTCTGCAGATGTTTCTGCGAGGGCATGGGGAGATAGCGGACTAAGTCTGGAACCCAGACACTAAGAGGAGAGACTGCTTTAGCTGTGAAGGATGGCCAAACCCACTCTGAGAGGAAATGGCACTAATTCTGAGTGCCTACGACAGCGCTTCAGGAGATTCCATTACCAAGAGGTGGCAGGGCCACGAGAGGCTTTCAGCCAACTGTGGGAACTTTGCTGTCGGTGGCTAAGGCCAGAGGTGCGCTCCAAGGAGCAGATTGTGGAATTGTTGGTGCTAGAGCAGTTCCTGACCGTGCTGCCTGGAGAGATCCAGAATTGGGTACAAAAGCAATGTCCAGAAAATGGAGAGGAGGCAGTGACACTGGTGGAAGGCTTAGAAAGAGAGCCTGGACTGCCTGGACATTCGGTGAGAAGGAGGGGGGTTCACACGTGTGTGGGGGAGGAGCAGTTTAAGATCAGCCAGGAGGGCCTGTCTGGAGATGCCATGTGAGTGTACCTCTGCCTACCCTATTAGTACACTATGTGCCTCTCTTCGATTTCTTTCTTTCTTTTTGTTTTTTTTTTTTTTTTTTTTTTTTTTTTTTGGTTTTGGGGGGAACGGGGGAACTCATTTTGTAGACCAGGCTGGCTTTGAACACAGAGATCCGCTGGTCTCTGCCTCTCAAGTGCTGGGATTAAAGGTGTGCGCCACCACTGCTCAGCTCACTTCAGTTTCTTAATAGACAAGAAATGGTAAGGGTTTTTTGTTTTGTTTTGTTTTTTTTCAAGCTGGTATTTGGTTTTCTATTTTGATCTTTCCAGCCATTGTAAGCCCATGATAATGGAATAAACACTTGTTTGTTCTATCTCCCCACCCCTACCACTCTGTCCTTGCCTCAAAAGGATGGATGGTCTCTGGGGATATTAAATAATCTCCCCTGGGTATGCCCTTTGTTACGACCTTGAAAATTAATGGGGGGGGGTTATTTCTAGGTCACAGTGTCTGTGAAGGGGCAGGAAATGCACTCGAAGAAGATGACACCCCCGAAATCATCACAGCAGTTATTAAGTGTGCTTCAAGAGTCAGTGGAACCCCAGCCTAGGGGTGTATCCAAGAAAGAGAGGGCAAGAAGTCCAGCCCTGGGACTACAGGAGCAGATGAACCCAAAGGAGAATCTCAGATCTTTTCAAAGGAGCGGTGAGGAGTAGATTCGTGTGGGAAGGTAGAGCCATTATAAGTTGGGAAGTAGGGTTGGGATAGTGAGTGGGAAAGGGATTTCAGAAATTGTGGGAACTTGAATATGTGGTTGTTGGGACCTTCTGAAGACAGGTAGTTCAGCCCTTTAGAGCTTCTTTTGATAAACCTGCCAGAGAACAGCTGCCCAGTTTTTATTATAATTAGAATAATCTTACTTCTTGATGGTAGACGCTTATTTTCTCTATTCTTTAGATCTAAGTCCTTATTATTCTCTACATTGGAATTTGGAATTTCTCTAAATATGAAGGGGATGAAATTATATCTGTATTGTTCCTATGAACTCTGTTAAATAAAAACAACAAGCATTTTACTTCAGAATTTTGCAACATCTTCCAGAGTAAAGCCCAGCATATGATTATATAAGTCTTTGTTCATGTGGTAACCCACTGGAGTCCAGTCACTTCTACTTGATTTTTTAGAACTTGTCTTTCTTCTTTGTGATTTATTGAGCTACATTTTGTGTTCATTAAAATTCACTGAGGTTGTTTTGAATTCTGATCTTACCATCCAAGATGACCAGTAATAGCATTCTTGGTTGGTTTGATAATTAAGTTTTAAACACCTACCATGTGCTGCAGGGTACATACACTGCAGTAAGAAAAGGTACTGTTGGCCAGTGAGCTGGCTCAGCTGATAATGTTCCTTGCTGTACAAGCTTGGTGACCTGAGTAAAAGCAAGTCCATGAAGTTGTCCTCAACTGCCAGTGACTGTGGCTCATGCACCCCCGCGTATATCCTGCACACACAATGAAAGTTTTGTTAAAGTACCTGTTACCAAAGAGCTTCACTATAATTTAAGAACATAGCAGTGAATTATGAGTATGTATTAACTCAGCTGTCTGAAAACAGTCTTAAGAACTTGTTCTATAAGCGTTTGGTGATGCAGCCATGAGATGGAGCTGTAGGGAACACCTGAGGGCATTGGCAAGGGGCTTCCCAAAGGATGGGTGAGTATGGTCAGGAGGAAGAGAGACACAGAGGTGAATAAAAGTGCACTGTGTTCTGAAGAAAAGAGGAGTGGATGGAACTTGCTAAACACCACAGTTAAGATTCAGCAGCATAGACGCAAGCTGAGAGCTAGTAAGACTGTGACCACTGTGGTGCCAGCTATGGGAGGACTTGGGTGGAGAGGAGGACGTGTTATAGGAAACACTTAGAATTTGGTGACTAAGTGAAGCAGAGTCAAGTTGAAGACAGATCTCCCCCCCCCTTCCCCCCCAATACAGCCTTTTGAAATCACTGAATTTAATTCTCAGGACTCAAGTGAAAAAAAAAAAATAGAGACAGGAGTGACGAATGGAAAAGTGCTGCCACCTGCACACAAGCAGCGTGGAGGCTAGGGAGAAGCTGGGATTGAGACACTTGCTCTAAACACAATAGAATATTTTCTTCCCTTCTTGTTCTGCTCTAGAACAGAAATCAAATTCTTTCTCATCCTTTGAGGTTCTGAAAACACTTCCTTTATAATCTTTAGATAGAGGCTGTGACTGTAGCTCAGTTGGTAGAGTACAGTGTGCACAAGGCCTCGTTTGATCCCAGCACTCCATACAACTCAGCATGGTATTGCACACTTGTAATCCCAGCTCTTAGGTGGTAGCAGGAAGATCAGAAGTTCAAGGTCATCCTCCATTATATAGCCTTATTCAGGCTAGCCTGGGTTATAAAAGACCCCATTTCAAAGGAGACAAAATCTTTTGGATGAAAGAGACAGGGCTGGGGGCTGAAGAAATAACTCAGAGGTTAAAAGCACTGGCCGCTCTGCCAGAGGTCCCAAGTTCAACCCCTAGCACCCACATGGTAACTCACAACCATCTGTAATAGGATCTGGTGCCCTCTTCTGGCATGCAGGCAGAGCACTGTATATATACTAAATAAGTAAGTACATAATAAATAAACAAGCAGGGCTGATTTAAAAGGTATTTTTGTTGTTTTTATGATCAGTCCAAACTGTGATACTTCGGTTTCTTCCCTACACATAGCATTTCCATTTCCTAAACCTGATGTGAATCAAGGAGCACCAGGGATCCCAGATCTGCTCAGCTCCAAGGAGAAAGATGTTCCAAAAGGCAACAGCACAGAAAACAAACAAGTCTATACTGATCCATTACCGTCCAAGAGAGATAAAAGGGTAGAACAGGATCACTGGGGCTTTGATGATGAGAAGGTGGTGGGTGTGCACTGGGGCTATGAAGAGACTAGAACACTCCTTGCAATTCTCAGTCAGACTGAATTTTATGAAGCTCTCCGAAATTGCCATAGGAACAGCCAAGTGTATGGGGCTGTAGCTGAGAAGCTTCGTGAGTATGGCTTCCTCCGGACCCTGGAACAGTGTCGGACCAAGTTCAAAGGCCTTCAGAAGAGCTACAGGAAGGTCAAGAATGGTCATCCACCTGAAACCTGCCCCTTCCTCGAGGAGATGGAAGCCTTGATGAGTGCCCAGGTCATTGCATTGCCCATTAGTAGCATGGAAGAGTCTACTTCCCTTTCTGGCCAGGCAGACACTGAGACTGAGGAGCCAAGGCAGAGGGCCTGGCAGCCCGAGGATGGAGAAGAGACTATGGCTGAAGGGTCTGACAGCGATGACCTGGAGGCAATCCCCCAGGACCCTGACAACCCACCTGCATCTGTCCTCTTCAGAAGCCCAAGTGGTAAGGAGCCTTTTTTGGGCTTTTTGTTTTAGGTATGAGGAGCGATGAAACTGGGTGTGGAGCCAGCCAGTTACCTGCCAGTTTGGCCATTTTAATAGGGAGCAGAGGTACTTCTTAACTCTGTATATTTTATTCTCTTCTGGGAACAAATGAGATAATAGTAAAGGATAGATTTTTTTTTTCTTTTTCTTTTTTTAATGCCTGGGGCCTTATACACTATACCATTAAGTTACATCTCAAACCTCAGACTTAAGATTTTTTTCAAAGAAATACACCCAAATAGTTCAGATGTCTTCAAAGGGGTAATTATTTTAAAAAAATACTTTGCCTGCTAATAAAGCAGGTTCACTGGGGGGGAAAATGATACTTTGTTGTTTTATTCCTTTTTAAATAGTGATGTTTTAAAAATGTGGAATGAATCATGACTGAAGCAAAATGCTTTTTATTATCTTTATTCTTCTCATCTTTTCCTGCCGCTCTACTTTTCCTCCCACCTTTTGGTTCTTTTCTGTTCTCTTTTACTCCCAGTAAGTGGGAAATGACAGAAGGAAGTGTTCTTGGTTGGGTGAGAACTGTGTGAATCTTCCTTCAGCTCTGTTCTTTCCTAAAAGCATGAAAGAGACCTGCAGTGTAGCATGTGTTCTTGCTTTGTTACTCATTCTGGCCTCCCAAGTCCTCCACCCAAAGACAAAGTGCACAACTATAGGACCCTGCAGGTCTTTGCTCTCGCTGGGGTTGCTTAATGGAGATAGCAACAGGTGAAGATAGGCCAACAGTATGATTCTGAAAGAAGCAGCTCCTTGGAGTTTTAAGCCTTTTTTTTTTTTTTTTTTAATTAACTAAAATTTTACAAATGTTATTTTAAAAACTTGTAAATTTAAAACAAAACCCACCAAAATTAATCAGATTAGTTTGAGTATTGATTCTGAAGTCATGAAGCTTCACATTGGATTTTACTCTTTGCCTATCAAATATTAAATCATTCTATAGAAAGAAAATAGAAGTAGAAAGTTTATCAGAGAAGTTTGGGATGGTAAGTTGTGGCTGACAACAATTGTGTGTCTTTTTTTCTGCCTAGTGATTTTTCTAGTTGGGATCAAAATTCCAGAGAAATTAGTAGATGGGAAGAGAAATGCACTTTATACATATACTTTATCTATACTTAGTTGTTGTTACTGTGACAAAATACCAGACAATGGCAACTTAAGGAAGGAAGGCATTGTTTTGGTTCACAGTTGGAGTATGTCTACCATGCTGGGGAGGATGTGGTGGTGAGAGCTGCTCTCAGTGCGCCAGTGGGAGCAGGAAGTAGCTGGTTATGCTGCATCTGTAGTCAGGGAGCAGAAAGAGTGATGCATGCTGGTGTTCAGTTTGTTTTCTCCTTTCTACCTTTTAATTCCATGTGGGACCGCAGCCCATGGGATGATGTTACCCACATTCAGGGTAGGTCTTTCCTTAGTTAAACCTTTCTGGAAACAACCTCACAGACATGCCCAGTTGATAATGAAGATTAACCATCACAGTGCATAATAACTGTCCCAGTAGTCATGTAGAAAGGCTTCTTTTAAATGGCTAAATGCTACTAATAAAGTTCTCTGAAATTACTAAAGGATACAGAAACAAGCTAGGTTGTGGTGGCACACGCCTTTAATCCTGGCACTTGGGAGGCAGAGGCAGGCAGATCTCTGTGAGTTTGAGACCAGCCTGGTTTACAAGAGAAGTTCCAGGACAGCCTCCAAAGCCACAGAGAAACCCTGTCTCAATAAACTACAACAAATAAATCAATAAATAAAAAATACAGAAACAAAACAATGTATAATGCATGTATAGGTTTAGGGAACATGAACATTTTAAATCTATGAACCTGAGCTTAGGCCTCCCTCCCTCTCTCCCTTTCTTTTTCTCCTATAAACTGAACCCCAGGCTTCATGCATGTTTAAGGTACACTAAGTGCTAATGTCTCCAGCTTAAGTGGTTTTCTTTGAATCATGTAGTAAGACTGAAGAGTTGAGGCTCTAAAGCTCTGGGTTAAGTAATCCTGAAATTTCTCTTCCGGTGCAGGTGTACACTGGGGCTATGAAGAAACCAAGACTTACCTTGCAGTCCTTAGTGAGACTCAGTTCTATGAAGCCCTCCAGAACTGTCATCGCAATAGCCAGTTATATGGAGCAGTTGCTGAGAGATTATGGGAATATGGCTTCCTTAGAACCCCAGAGCAATGTCGGACCAAATTTAAAAGCTTACAAACCAGCTATCGGAAAGTCAAGAATGGTCAAGCACCAGAAACCTGCCCCTTCTTTGAAGAAATGGATGCTCTGGTTAGTGCCCGAGTTGCTGTCCCACCTAGTGATGAGCAGAAAAAAGGAACAGCTTCTTGCTACCCCCAGGGAACCAGTAAAGCTGAAGCTGAGAAGCAAACCGAGGACACAGAAGAAGATTCAGATGATGAAGATGATACTGAGATACCCCCCGGGGCTGTTACAACCCGTGCCCCAGTCTTATTCCAGAGCCGCAGTGGTAAGGTTCTTTATTTTTACTTTTTGAGGGAGGGTTCATGTAGCTAAGATTGACCTTGAACTCCCTGCATAGCCAAGGATGGCCTTAAACTCTGGATCATCCTGTTTCTACCTCCTAAGTGGTTGTACTGCAGGTGTGGACCTCGTCTCCATGCCCAGCTAAGATTCAGTTTTTTTGTGTAAATAGCAAAGAGGGAAGGGGGCTATCAGATTTAGGAGAAAAACCATGCAATTGAAAGCTGACCTATATACCCAGCTTTCCTGAGTTCTTATCTTTCTTCTCCATGTTTCCTATCTATTAAAACAGCTCAGTTAAAAGCTGCAAATTATTAATGTGGCATCCTTCAGCACACTACAGCATCATTTGGTTGCAAATATTGTAGATTTGCTATCACTTTCATGTGCTGCTAGGTCTCTAGTCAGTTTTCACAGCAGCTAATCTAAATGGGAACATTTTCCAAGTAGTATGTCACATATTCTAGAGAATGAAGTTGATTTTTACTGTTCCTGCTTATGTTTTTCTTATAGTTCTAGCTTGTCCGTCAACTATAGGGCTATGTAGAAACCTGATAACCCTTTTCTTCACATATATGAAGAAATATTAATAAATATTAATTAATTTACTTTATTTTATTTATTGGTATGAAGGTGTCAGATCCCCTGAAACCAGAATTACAGACAGTTGTGAACTGCCATGTAGGTGCTGGGAATTGAGTCCTCTGGAAGAGCAGCCAGTATTCTTAACCTCTGAGCCATCTTTCCAGCCCCAGATATATTTTTTAAAAGATATTTTTATTTTATGTGTGTGTATGTGGACCTGAGTGGATATATATGCAGCATGTGTCCTTCAAGGCCAGAGGAGTGTGTTGTATTTACTGGAACGGGAGATACAGGCAATTGTGATCCCAGCAATGTAGATGCTGGGAACCAAACCAGGTTCTCTGTAAGAACACCACTGAGATGTGTCTGTCTCCTGCCATTTCAGATAAACTTTTATCTGCTGGTTTCTGTGGGAAATGACTGGATCTCAGCTGCTATATAAGGGGAAAAAAAGAAAAAAAATCCAATATGGTTTCTTCCTTGTAGGAAGAATTGTAATTTTGGAGTCATACATGTTTAGTTATGTGTATGCCAATCTCCAATATTAGCCAAGTGACTTAGTGTAAGTTACTTAAGACCTTGGGCTGAGGGTGTAGTTTAGTGGTAGAGTACTTGCTTGAACATACTCCAGGCTCTGGGTTAATCATTTACATTGCAAGTGAAAGGAAAACTACATTACAAAGCTGATATAACTGAGGTACTATATGAAGTACCCACCACAGTGCAAGGCACATAGTAGGTATTTAATAAATAGTTTTCACTTCAAAAAGTCTTTTAGATCAGCATTCTGATTTTGCATTGAACATCAGTATTTTACAAAAAAAAAAAAAAAAAGTTGACTTCTGAGTTTGGGAAATATTACATAATATTCTTGGAGATGCACAATACATGTTCACATTTTTTATATATATATATCCCAGTTCCCTCTCCTTCCCTCCCTCCCATCCCATCTCCCCCCGCCCCCCAACTCCACAGGGAGGGTGATGCCTTCCAGGAGGAATCAAAATCTGTCAAGTCATTTGGAGGAAGGACTAGGCCCTCCCTCATATTAAAGGTTCTAAGATCTCAGTCAATCTAGCAAATCTCTTATTTTATGGACCATCTTACAAGTGTAAGCTTTAAGGGAATACATACCAACTCACTCAGTATTCCACAGAATTCAGGATCCAGAATCAAATTAAGTGCAAACTCCCATAGCCTAGGTTGAAAGGCTGACATTTGCTTTTTAGGATGTTAAAAAGTTGCCTAGTTGAGCTAAATTACAGTGTTTTTGCAACATTTGGGTTTTGGAGAATTTCTAGTGAAACTTTCCTTTTTTGTGGGCCTTTGTTCTTTAAAAACTGCTACATATTTTCCTCCTCTTCCTCCCAAGTGCTAGGATTGAAAGTGTACACTACCATACCCAGTTTAAAAATATTTTAAAATACTTTAAAAGTTATGTATGTGCATGTGTGGGCTATGCACATGTGAGCCCGCCTGAGGTTGGTGCTGGGAACTGAACTCAGGTCCTCTATAGCAGTACATGCCCTTGACCTCAGAACCATTACTCTAGCACCTCCCATGTTTTTTACTTGTATTTCTTTATTTAGGGTTACATATACCATGGTACCTGTTTAGAGTTGGCTCTCCTACTCTTCTGTGTGGGTTCCAGGAATTGAACTCAGGTCATCAGGCTGAGCAGCTTGTACCTTTACCTGCTAAACCATTTTGCCCCCATACCACACCTTTTTTTTTTTTTTTAATAGATTGAACTTATAAATTCAAAATGCAGAACTCACTATTTGTAATCATCTAATGTAATAATTGTTCCTCGCAGGTTTGCTTTGTTGTGGTCATATAATTAAGGAATTGTGTTCTTGTATTAGGTTTTGAGGCTGGATTTGATAATGAAGAGAATCTAAAACGAGATATTTCTGAGGAAGTACAGCTGCATAGGACATTACTTGCAAGATCTGAAAGGAAAATCTCCCGTCATGTTAATCAAGGTAAAGCTAGTAAGGATGAATGTTTATCAGCAAGCCAGTGGGAAAAGACTCGAAGAGAAAAGAAAAGAAAACTGGCCCTTCCAGAGAAGAGTATAGGTACAGTCCTGACTTATCAGAGACCAGGCATGGGAGACAGACCCTATAAATATCTCAGATATGGCAAAAGCTTTGGCCCAAACTCCCATCTCCTGTATCAGGTATCCCATCAGGCAGAGAGTCCATATAAATGTGCTGACTGTGGGAAAAGCTTCAGTCGGAGTGCACGCCTCATCAGACACCAAAGAATCCATACTGGAGAAAAACCTTATAAGTGTCTTGACTGTGGAAAGGGTTTCCGTGACAGTTCCAATTTCATTACCCATCGGAGAATCCACACGGGTGAAAAGCCTTATCAGTGTGGTGAATGTGGGAAACGCTTCAATCAGAGCTCAAGCCTTATAATTCACCAGAGAACCCACACAGGAGAAAAGCCTTACCAGTGTGCAGAGTGTGGAAAAAGCTTCAATAACAGTTCTCATTTCAATGCACATAGGAGGATACACACAGGAGAGAGACCCCATGTGTGTCCTGACTGTGGTAAGAGTTTTAGTAAGAGTTCTGACTTGCGTGCACATCACAGAACCCACACAGGAGAGAAACCATATGAGTGCCATGACTGTGGCAAGTGCTTCAGTAAGAGCTCTGCCCTTAATAAACACCGAGAGATCCATACACGAGGAAAGCTGCTGTCACAGTCAATGTCTAAGTAAGCTCCTGAGGAAAGGCCTCAGTAAATGCATTGTGTGAAAGTCCTCTCCTGTTCTGTGCTCAGCTGGCTTAGGAGGCACTTCTCAGGATTTTTGCCATTGTTTGTTCCTATGCTTCCCAAATGTAGCTGAGTCAAATGTCAGTGGTTTTAAGATGAAAAGTAGATTTGTGTCTAAACTGATGGTAATAACGTCTTTCCCTCTCGGTGCCTGTGTTGTTCCCTTTGAGGGGACATAGTATATCCTGTGGCTCACATCTTCCACTCCTCCTGTCATACAGAGCACTTCAATGGGAAAACTCATCTCAGCACTTTGCTAAACAAGTTGTGGAATGCTCACTAACTGGGCCATCCTGCTCACTTACACTTGTGGATACTCTTCATTTATCTTTAAGGAGAGTTTAAAGTCCATCTTGGTTCTATCTTTTTCCAAGAATATGGGGCTAGGATGTAGCTCAGTGGTAGAGCACTTGCCTAGTATGCACAAGGCCCTGGGTTCAATCCTGAGTAACACACAAAGAGAGAAAGTGGGTGAATCAAGGAAACACTGTAAGCCTTCTATAAACACTGGATTTCTTAGTTTCTTCTAGATTGTATAAGGGTCGTAATAGAATATACTGCATTTATAGCACTTGTTTGATTTTTCTTTTCTTTTTTCTCCTTTCCTCCTCTTCATCTAAATTTCATCTGTCCCTTATGAACTAGAAGTCAAAAGAGCAAATTAGATGGATGCGGTGACCGAAAAAGCACTTAAAGCTACCAACAGGAACTGTCTATTTTTCTTACACTCCATATACATGTGTGTGTGTGTGTGTGTGTGTGTGTGTGTGTGTGTGTGTGTGTACATATATAGTAGCCTATGGGTGCTCAATACTAATTGCAAGGAGCAGAACCACTGCCACATTCCCATATATAGGTTTACCCTAAATGACATGGAGGATGGTGGAGCTAGCACACACACAAACTCACTCAACTATACAAATAAAAGTATCTATTTAAATACAAAAGTAATTATGGTCTTCTTTTTTGTTTGCTTGTTTTGTTTTTTTAAAGACAGGGTTTCTCTGTGAAACAGTCCTAGCTGTCCTGGAACTCACTCTGTAGACCAGGCTAGCCTTGAACTCAGAGATCCACCTGCCTCTGCCTCTGAGTGCTGGGATTAGAGGCGTGCGCCCCAACCCCAAGGCTGATGATGGGTTTTCAAAATTAGGTGGTTTGAATCAATTTCCACATATTCATAGACTTATGGTAAGCACTGTACAACACAAGTAAAACAGTCTTACCCATGTTCTTATACTGGAAAACAGATAGTACATGGACAGATAACCACAAATTTACTTTTTAAAGATAGGGTCTCACTATGTACTACTGGCTGACCTGGAACTCACTATGGAGATTACACTGGCCCTGAACTTAAGAGATTTGACTGCCTCAATCTTCAAAGTTTTATCACCCTACCATGACAGGCTCTAACTGTTTTAAAGAAATTTAGTTAAATAGTGTTACTACACTAGATGTTAGTTTTAACATAACTTGCTCAGGAAACAGTAACATTCAAAGGAAAAAAGTAACTAGATAAATTATAGTGAGATACTTTGCAAAACTAGTTGTTCTAGGTGGGTAAGATGTGGGAAAACATGAAAGCAAAGGACAGCAGAGATGGAGTATTACAGGGAGACCCTGAAGTATACTGTGCCATGCTTACTGAGGACAGGGTAGCAGCTTGGCTCAGGAACGAACACCAGAAATTAGTATCCATTGAAGATACTTTTGATGAGCAGGTCAGAGAAAAGATGGCCATGGTCAGATGGCCAAGACCTGGAATATTTAACTTTCACATTTTACTTTTATTAGATATCCATGGCTAGATTAAGATCTGAGGTAGTAGTAAGGAGATAAGACTTCAAAAATTTATTAGGATGGATAATTAACTAAGGTTCTGGTATTAAGGAATCCTAAAAGAACTAACATTAACAATTAAGGGAAAATGGTATCTCAATTATGCTGCCTAAGCAAGCAGGAAGGTACAAGAAACCCCTGTCTAAATCAGGGCCTTCGGATCTGAGATGGCTTTGGAAGTGAGCTGCAATATCAAGGAAAGTGGGGATTATTGGCATTAGTATTAATCTGTGTATAGAACTGTGGAAAAGGCATTAGGGTGTTAACAAACATGGCTCCAAATGTCTTGCATGTTAAACTGCTGTTTCTCTTCCTGTAAAGCAGAATAATGTTTACATCCAAGTCTGCCTCTCAGGGATCATGTTAATAAAAGTTATGTCTATAAAGCTCTCTGTTTCATCAGGTGTTTCGGTGTGAATTTTATATAAGAAAATTATGTAAAAGTATTACCTTGGTCATAAGTTCTTATGATCAAATTGTAGATGGTCGGAAAATAAATTCCCTGATTTTCCCCCCTTCTTGTTATGTTACCTGCCTGAATTTTTACACTGTAGGCAAAGGAACAAATTACAATCACATCAAGATGACTGGGCAAGAAAAATGAGTCAGGTTTTAAATTACACAGGACCCTTTAACTTCCAAATGTGGAGACATTATAAAAGGAACAAGGTGAACTCTTATTACTAGAGGAAGACCCAGTTCATCTCAAACTATCTCACAAATACTTCCTAGTCTGCCATTGCCAAGGGTGGACAGAAACAAAAGTAAGCCTAAGAGAAAGCACTATGGAAAACAAGACATTTGGGCCTCTAACCCTTTAATGACTACAGCCTTTAGTAGACATGATAGTGACATGTCTACTCATCATGTTTCCTTAGCACTATCAACTACTTTCCCATTGAACATTAAACATAGTTAATTTTATGTCAATTTTTATTCTATAACACTTTTAAAGGGTATACAACACCTACATTGAGGGTGAAGATGAAGCTTGGTGGGAAAGTGCTTGCCTAGCATGTGTAAGGCCCTGTATTCAATTCCGCAGCACAGTAAAGAAGAGATTACCATGAGTCCGTGTTGATGTCCTAAGCCTATATTGCTACCAAGGTCTATAATGGTGTCTGTCATGTGTGTTACTACAGGAGTCCTTGCAGACTAATGGGCAAGGTGAAAAGTTTCTACACCCTGATAAGCCTCTCTACCAATGCAGCAATCCAAATCAGACCCAACTGAATTAGAAAAAGCACATATTTAACGCTCCCAGATGGGATACAGGAAAGGGAGACAGATTTACCTGTTTATTTAGGGAGAAATAACTTAAAACCTAGACAGATGAACACCAGCAAGTTTTACCAGATGCTCTCCTGTTCTCACTACAGGAATGGTTTTGAGCATCTCTCGGGGAGGGGTCATCATTTGGCAGGCTTTCTGAGATGCAGCAGGGTTTGGAGAGATAGGAGATGGGACTTGGGTGGAACCTCCACGGTAACATCCCAGACTCTTTGGGTATGGATGCCAGGGGCTGGGGTGAAGCTTCCACAAGGAAGCTTCTTTTGTAGTGGAATCGATGACTACAGGTTCAGTTGAGAATGAGACACAGAAGGTTTCTGTGACCTTTTCCTCCCCACACCCCAGTCTAGACAGGAAGCACTGAAAAGAACTCTTAAAAACTGTGATAGAGATTCTGAAGTACATACAGCTTTTCACAGCTGATGGCTTCTGACAGAGGTGGGGTAGGGAAGGACTTAGTTTTCTTTAAAAGGTTGGCCACTGGGAGTTTGACCATGTTTCAGTGAGTAGTATATGGGCAACACAAATCGGACTTGATATTTAATTTTCCTTTTCTTTGGGGGAGGTCAAAAGGGAGCTGGGGTGGATCTAGGAGACAGGTATGTTATGTGAAACTCCCAAATAATCAATAAAAATATGTTGGGGGAAAATATTACATTTTATGGATTTTAAAAAAATCTGTATAACTGGATAGTTAGAAATGTGAGGTTATAAAACACATATCTAAGAACTTTAAAAGTTTAAGTATTTCCCTCTATTGTGTATCCTAAAAGAAAGACACACAGAAATCTCAACCTTAGTAATTGAATTAAGGGTGTCATCAGGTTTCTTCTCTGAGATCAGGGAAAACGTGTGATAAGAAGGAAAGCAGCAATTCAAGCATACATTACTGTGTAATGAGTATGGGTTTTCCCTCCCGCTGCAGCCCCAAATAACACACTGAGACTCTGTATTAGATATAATTCTGTTGGCCAGTTACTTGTTTCTTATAGGCTAGCTCTGTCTTAAGTATTAACCCATTTCTATGTATTTCCATGTGGTCTTAACAGTGAGAGGCGGCTGGCGGTCCTATTCTCTCCAGATTCTCCATCTTGACTCCTCCTTCCTACTTCCTATTTCCTCCTTGTCTCCTAGTCCCTCCTATCTTCCTTTCCTATTGGCCAACAGTGCTTTAGTCATTAACCAGTATGAGAAACATATACAGAATGACATCTCCCATCATTACTGTTTTAGGGTTTTTAATGCTGTGATAAAACACCATAACCAAAAGTGAAGTGAGGAAGAAAGGGTTTTATTTTCTCTTATAATTTGTATCCATCATCCTAGAAAGTTGAGGCAGAAACTGGAGCTGAGCAATGGAGGAATGCTACCTACTGGCTTGACCCTTGTGGCTTGCTCAATTTCCTTTCTTATTCCACCCAGAGCCACCTGCCTGGGGTGGCATTACTTTCGGGGATGTGCAAACCAACTGATTAAGCACTGATTAGGCCAATCTGGTGGGAACATTTTCTCAGTTGAGTGTCCTTCTTCCCAAATGGCTCTAGCTTGTGTCAAGTTGAAAATACTAACCAGGACATTTGTCATCTGTTAAAAATCTTTTTCTTACTATGCAGAGCCAATCTCAGCTGTCCCTTGTCTTTAGTGAAAGTGGCCATGGTATGTGTGTTTATGTAAGCCTGTGCCTATGGACCATCATGTGGGTATGAGATTATAGGAGATATAAGAGTCCTAGAAGCCACAATGTCACCATTACTAGAAACATCTTTTAACTCTGTCCTGGTAATGTGGAAGTCCTGGCAGCTTCCACAAAGAAAGCTAAATAGAAGCTAATTTTAAAACCAAAGTTCCAGCTTTATGTCTTTCTCAATTCTAACCAGCAATTCTTTCCTTTCTGTTAAACTGAAGTAATTACTGTAATTCCCTTTATGTATTTCTAAAGATATTATGAGAAGGGAAAGTCAGGTTCTAGCATTGTCACTAGAGTCACCTGACAACTAGGCACCCACACAAATGGTTTCAGTGTGCAATGTGGCCTGGCATCAATAGTCTTGGGAAATAATACTTGAAAGGGTTAAAGGAAATGGAGGGATTCTAATTAAAGCTAACAAAACATAGAGGTCTTCCTGAAAACAAACACCTTCAACTTCTCAGAAGTCTTATGATCACTAATGGAGAGGGAGTGCTAATTTAAAAAGAAAGTCAATAGTGGAGTGATGAATTTAGTTTTGTGGCCCTCCAGTCCTCCAGCAAATATCATGGAGGTAAAACACGCAAGGCCCCAAGGCTCTCAGTCTGAGATATCACTGAGAACTTGCCATATGTAAGGTGCTGGTGTTAAGACCCCACATACACTTGGTACTGAGCTTCAAAGGAAGTAGTGGACAGTCCACTGAGTGGGAAGTGGCAGGAGGTCTTGGCTATAACATACAATCACCTCATCACAGCTCAAAAGTGTAACACTTTGGGCTTCAGGTGATTCCATCTCTTTCTCAGTTCAGATATGGTATTGTCAGAAGCGAAGATGTAACTGATGGATTCGTAAGACAGATCCCACACCTGAGATGGGGTCAAATTAAATGTTTCCGCTGCCAGCTGATATTCTTGAGAAAGGTATGTCGCAAAAACACCCTTATCATCAGTCTGCCAATGTAAACAAGAACAGTTCAAAATAAACAAGTGCTTTGTAAAAATTAACTTTTTTGAGACAGAGTTTCTCTGTGTAGCTTTGTAGCCTGTCCTAGAACTCAGAGATCCACCTAGTTATGCCTTGACACACTGGGATTAAGGGGGTGCAACACTACCGCTCTGCCAAAAATTAACTTTTTTTGTTCAGAACCTATTTTCCCATGCTTTTTTAAACAGTGAAAAGGAACTTGCAAATGCACATCTGTAACAAATTTGTTTATACTTAAAAAAAAAAAAAAAAAGGAAAAGAAAACAGTACTTTAACCCTGGCGCACATTACAAGCACATAAAGAGCTTTAAAGCATATCCATGCCCAGGACTCATTTCAAATCAAATAAAGCAGGGTCCTACTGGAAGGGGTACTGGGCACCAACATTTTCTCCCAGACACTGGCTTACTGCTTCTCATAACCAAAGCAGTCATCACCTGAAGCCTTTGTAGCTTCCCCATCTCCTTCTGGGCATTTTCTTCAGGAACTCAAGGTAGTAGGCAAGATAATAAACATATGACTTAGTTCAATGTAGCAACTAAAAAAGAGCAGGAATAGAATACTTCTTACACAGATCACAGAAGGATGAGCAATGCTGTACCAGAATCCAAAGTGATGCTGGTCGTAAGAGGGAACTGTCTGGCTTTTGATGTTCGAGGTCAAACAAAGTTCTAAATGAAAGGGGAAAATCCTTCTATTAAAAGCAAGTAAGTGAATTTCTTCATTGAGTACCAAGCAGACTAACAAGAATACTCTCCAGACTCGTGATGTAAGCAGTTTCATTGTTCCACAGAATGTACTGCTCACTATGTGTCATGGGAGATGAGTCCCATCTGGCTTAGCAGAAGAGTGCCTGTCTGCAGGTGCCAGGCTCCGCACTCACTTCCACCACTACACACAAACTGCAATTCAGATGTATTTGTACATACACCTGTCAGTGCTGTGATAGCAGCTGTACCAGGCAAGGAGCTACTGCTTTCTTCACAATGATGGGCTTCCCCTGCTTTACCAAGATGAAAGACTACAGGCCTGGAATATAATGAGCCTGTACATTTCTTCACAGATCATCACACCCATTGATGTTGCTTTAAGACAAGGTCACACTAGCCCTGACTGGCCTGGAACTTACTATGTATACTAGGCTGGCCTTGAACTCAGAGATCCACCTTCCTTTCCTCTGCCTCTGCAGTGCTGAGATTAAACGTGTGCACTATCATGCCTGGCCTAATATTGGTTTTTTGGGATGTATTTGTTGCCTTCTGATGAGCTCCTTAAGGAAGAAACTGTCTACTTAGTTTACTGCTCCATTCTCAGCAAATGGTGTAACGACAACTCATAAGCATAGTCACAATCAAGTGTGCAATGGTCAGTCAGGATGTAAAATGGATTTACAATTTCCCTAATTTTTAAACACGTTTCTTAATTTTTATTTTATGTGTATGGATATTTTGCCTGTGTATGTCTATGTGCTACTTTTATACTGTTGTAAAATATTAAAGATGTGTTACATTCATTTATACTGTGGAATATTTGTTTAATGAAGCAAAGTTATGTTACATTCTTTTATGTTGCATTTGTTTAATAACTCTGTGTTACTTTGCCTGCCTGAAACACCTGAATGGTCTAATAAAGAGCTGAATGACCAATATCTAGGCAGCAGAGAGAAACAGGCGGGGCTGGAAGGCAGAGAGAATAAACAGGAGGTGAAATCTAGGGAAGAGAGTGAGGAGGAGTGAGAAAGGAGAAGAGGGAAAGACACCAGGGGCTATCCACCCAGCCACACAGCCACCCAGCCACACAGCCAGGCACGGAGTAAGAAGGAAAGAAAGACAGATTAAAGACAGGTTAAAAAGCCCAAAGGCAAAACATAATTAAAAAGAGAAACAGAATTATTTAAGTTAGAAAAGCTGGCTAGAAAAAAGCCAAGCTAAGGTCCAACATTCAGAAGCAAGGACAAGTCTCTGTTCATTTATTTGGGAGCTGTGCGGTAGGCCTCCAAAGAGTAAAAAAACAAAAACAAAAACAAAAAAACCAACTACATTTTACAGTTTACCTATGCCCGAGGAAGAAGGCCAGAAGACAGAAGGCAATGTCAAATCCACTGGAACTGAAGTTAGGCACAGTTGTGAGCATCCATGCGAGTTCTAGGTATTGAACCCCAGTCTTCTAGAAGAACACCCATTGCTCTTAACTGCTGAATCATCCCTCTACCCCAATTTTCCTAATTTTTTAAGACAGGTTTCTCTGAATAACCTAAGCTAGTCTTAAAACTAGTAACCCTCCTGTCTCCCACAAGGTAGGAATATAGACCATGCCTGGCTCTAATTCTTAGTTTTTAAGTAAATGTTATACATTTACATGTTGAGGGAGGGAGGGAGGGAAGGAAGGAAGGAGGGAGGGAGAGAGGGAGGGAGGGAGGGAGAGAGAGAGAGAGAGAGAGAGAGAGAGAGAGAGAGAGAGAGAGAGAGAGAGGACTCTGTGAGTCACCCAAATATAACTCAGGTCATTATGGCTGGCAGTATACATCTCTACCTGGGAACCCGTGCGTTAATTTTATTATAGTCATCTTCAAAATTCTACATGACTTTTATTTTTCATGCAAACAAACAACAACAGACTGAGTTCCCAGCACTAGGGGCTGTAGCAGTCAGTAAAGAAGATGGACACAGTCAGAATAAGAGACAGAGAGCCCTGCCACCGTAAAACTTACCTTCTAATAGAAGCTAAAACTTTCAGCACTTAAATGAGACCCAGAAAGCACACACACACCCTGTGTCTTAATTTGTAAATATCTGAATTTTAGAACAGTACTTTTCCACATAAATTTTGCAGCTGGGTCCTGGAGGAAGAAGGGCAAGAGGGTTGTCTGGGCCATATGAAATTCTAAGTCTTACCTAGAGGTATCCGGTGTTGCCTCACAAAATCCACCTGACCCAGGGATCCTCCCTCGGGGGAGTTGAGGAATGTCCCGTGTCCAATCCTGTCAGGAAGCAGGTCTAGCAGGGTTTGTGTTTCTTTTTTCTTATCTGGAACCTTCAGAAAAGTGAGAAGAGGGAATCACTGGCCTCTGCCAGCAACTGAGGTATTGTAATCTGTCCTGAGTAGTGAATGCTAACATTTTTAGAAAACAAAATTACTTACACCTTCTCAAACCTCCTCAGATCTATCAATACTTTATGGCCCAATAATAATCTCATGAAGTACGAACATAAAGAAGTAAAAGCTAGACGGGTGGTGGTGGCACACCACTTAAATCCTAGCACTCAGGGGGCAGAGGCAGGCAGATCTCTGTGAGTGCAAGTCTTGCCTGGTCTACAGAGTGAGTTCCAGGACAGCTGGAACTACACAGAAAAAAACCTGTCTTGAAAAACAAAAGAAATAAAAAGTAAACACTAAGAAAAATTTAATTCCACAATAAAACAAACCCCATTAATTCTATATGTGTATGTGTGTGTGTACATGTGTTCACACATATTAGAAAACAAGTAGAGAAGTATATATACCAAATTTAATATCACCTCTTGGCAGGACTTTACATCCTTTCTTTTGGTGCTATAATCCCTTACACTTGAAATTTCTTCAGGTATATAAAATTTTTAGCCAAAAAACATAAATATTTTTGAAAACACTGTTCACAATCTGAGATGGTGGGGGTAAGGGTGAAAAATTAACTTCTTCAGACTCCAACCCCCCAGTACTTGGGAGGTAGGTGCAGAAGGATCAGAAGTTCACGGACATCCTTGGCTACAAGGTGAATGCCAGGCCAGCCTGGGTTACATGAGACCCTGCCTCAAAAAAAAAAAAAAAAAAAAAAAGAAAAAAAGAAAGAAAGAAAGAAAAGAAAAATGTTTCCCCAAGATCAGCCAATTTCTATTAGTTATTTGCAAACAACTTTATTTTTTTAAATTATAACCTGCCCTCTCCACTCTATGACAATATTATTTACCTCTGCAAGATGCAACGCCAACTTCAAGCCTGCTTTTTTAGCTTCTAAAAGAGGTTCCAAGAAGTCTTTTGCTTGTCCTATCTTGAAAATAAAATGAGCATGCATGATAATACTGAGCAAATGAGGGATCTGGTGTTCTGCCCAATCAGAGATAAAATAGTGGCAGACTGGTTTCATTTGAACCTCTTGCTTATAGAGGGCCTTTAATGTGCTGGACACTTTAAGGATTACACCATGAAAATCCCTGACCTTGAATCTTAAGCCCAGTACCAGTGAGCTCAGGTCAATAAGCAAGTTGAGTATTACAGGCCAAAATTTTTTATTTCACACTGATGTTTAGTATTATGGAGAACTCATTTAATTTAGGAAGCAACAACAATACAAGCACATAAGCACACACGCACACAAACACATACAAAACAAACTTCACAAAAATAGACAAAAATCACAAGATAATCCACAGCAAAGAATTATTTGGTCCCAAATATCAAGACTTATTTGAATGTTTCACTCAGTAAGCTGATGCAATCTTTCTTTCTGGGGGGCTTTTAGGGTATAATTACAATCTTAACACCCTTATCTATCTATCCATCATACATAATGGAATTAACTTCTAGGTACAGAGACTGTTACTAGTTGTATAATATCTTTAGAAGAATGGAGAGAGTGGTCATTTCTAATAATATCTATAATTTATTTTTACAGTATTTGTTCAAGAACCCTTAAGAAGCAGTATGCTACATATTCTGGTGATCTAGGGCAGAATAGGACTTCATTAGGTATCTGCTGGACCTAATGCGTGATGCTCCAGACTAATCCTCACCCCACTGACTGATTCTGCCACTAAGAAATAAAATACAGTAACTTACAGTAGGATCTCCACTAAGGTCAAGGCCAAGAACCGTATCCTCAGTCGAGAGGAAGAACTCTTTAGCCAGTTCAACAGTCTCCCTGGCTACTGTCAGGCCACCTCTTCTGTCAATTGCCATCAAATACCTTTAATACAAAACAAAAAATAAAACACAGTTGATACTAACCTGGCAGGAAGATACTCTGATCATAGTTGAAGCCATGAATGGGAACATAAGTGCCTATAATCAGATTATCTGGAAGGTGGAGGCAGGAAGGTCATCCTGGGCTACAAACTGCGTTTAAGGCCAGTTTGGGATGCATGAGACCTGTCTCAGGAAAAAAAAAAAAAAAAACCAAACCAAACAACCTCCACTAATTTAAAATCAACTAATCTTAGAAAGGGCTACATGTTATCTCATGAAGTTTCTCATGAACTTAACCACTATCATTGATGCTTCTAAGCACAAAGCTACCAGAAAATAAGAGCAACTTAGAACTACAAAAATACCTGAGAATGGGTAAGCAATGCAAGTACAGGCAGGGTGTTGAGCATGTGACGGTCAGAGGACAATCAGGTGTGGGAGTCCTCAAGCATCTTCCAACTTTTGTCTGAGACAGTCTCCCATTGGCCTGCACTTCCTCATGTAGGCCAAGCTAGCCGGCCTGTGAAGCTCCAGGGATCTGCTTGTCTTCACCTCCTAACTCTAGGATTATAGCATGGACACCTGGCTTTTTATAGGGGTTCTAGGAGTTTGAACTCATGTCCTCACACTTGCTAGGCAAGTGCTTTACCAACTGAGCTACCTTCCAAACCCCTTAAGTCTCTTTTAATCTATTTCTATTCACTTCTCTCCCGTTCTCATTTCTATCCAACCTCTTTCCTTGTAATTTATTTGTTTGTCCTACAAAGAATCCCACAGTCTGGATTCTGTTGATTGCATCCTTATGTGAACATGTCCCTTGTCTGTCTTCCTGTCTTCCTTCCTTCCTTCCTCCCTTCCTTCCTTCCTTCCAAGACGGGGTTTCTCTGTGTAGCTTTGGAGCCTGTCCTGGAACTCACTCTATAGACCAGGGTAGCCTAAAACTCAGAGATTCACTTGTCTCTATCTCCCCAGTACTGGGACTAAAGGTGTGCACCACCTCCACCCAGCCTCCTCTTGTATTTTTGATAAACTGATTAATTGGATCTAGTCTAGAAGCTTAATTAGATCAGATTTAATTTTTTGGCAAGAATAAATAGGTGATAAAGCCAGGCATCATGGCACATGTTTAGATATGAATATTTTGTTTTGGAATGGATTTCATTTATTAAATACTTCGTTTTGGAATGGATTTTCATTTATTGATACAATTTAAGGTCAATTTTGTGATGTGTATATTTCTCCTTTTGTTTAGGTATTGTGTTTATATAGTTCATTCAGAAATGTATAATGTAGTACAGATTATAGATAATTACCTATGATAGTCAAAACTTAGAGTTAAGTTAGCTAGGTTTTCAAGTTACACGAAGATGTATTTGAGATAGATAGGCATTCTTCAAACCTTTCAAAGACCTACAGACTATGGCATTTAAAATGGTTTAGGGTTTTCGTGACAGTGAGACATAATTGCTCTTGGCAATACCACCTACACCAGAAAGGAAGATGGACATTGAAGAAACTCGTTATGGAGTTTCCAATATTTCAAGACTAGCCATTTGGACAAGATACTGCTCTTGTCTGGACTGTTTAACTTTATACTGTATAAACTGGACATGCAGGACCCACAGAAAAGTGACTGGTGATTTAAGATGGACATTGCTACAGAGTTCCTGCTTCATGGAAGAGTCTGCCAGACAGTCTGCATGGCACAGAGAAAAATGACTGACAAGCTGCCAATAAAAAAAGACAGTTTAAAGTTTCCTACTTTGCTGAAGAGTCTGCCAGACACACTATGGCCTATGGGCTGAAGATTACAGAAGATTACAGAAGAACTTCAGGTTACTGAAAAGGCAAGATGTCTCTGTTATTTCTAGAGCTTATATATTATCCTTCTGTGGTCTTTGATGGAGTTGAAGACAGATAGTTATGGTTATAGTTTTCCTTAGTTAGGATTAAAGATAAGTTACATATAGGGCTTTAGACTCACAAAGATAGATGATGAAACATTTTCTTCAAATCTTACTAAATGTTAATGGACTAAATATTGTTAACTGTGATTCTTATTTGCTAACTGTTGTGTTATATATTTTGCTATGTTAAGCTTAAAACCCTTCTTTTTATTTAGACAGAAAAGAGGAGATGATGGGAGATGTCATTCTGTATATGTTTCTCATACTGGTTAATGAATAAAGCACTGTTGGCCAATAGGAAAGGAAGATAGGAGGGACTAGGAGACAAGGAGGAAATAAGAAGTAGGAAGGAGGAGTCAAGATGGAGAGTCTGGAGAGAACAGAACCGCCATTCCTCCGCTCTCGGTAAGACCACGTGGAAATACATAGAAATGGGTTAATAATTAAGACAGAGCTAGCCGATAAGAAACTAGCACCTGGCCAACAGCATAATATTAAATACAGAGTCTCTGTGTGTTATTTGGGGCTGGCACGGCAGCAGGACAAGACCAGGCGGCGGGCAGAAAAACCCTACTCATTACACACATGCCCATAGTCAAAGCATTTGAAAGGTAAAGGCAGGAGGATCAGAAGTTCAAGGACAACCTTGTCTATATAGCAAGTTCCAGGCCAGCCTGGGCTACTTGACTCTGTCTACAAAAGCTGGCTTTGTTTAAAGTATTGAAGATGTAGTGTTGACTCAAAGACAAGACTCTGGCCTCTCTGAACACACACTCCAGTCAAAGATGTGCATGCTTCATGACAATACAAACTAATGACATGGAGGAACACGGGTAAGGAGGGGATTTGAGTGCCAGGAACATGCTGACAGACTGGTCTCTCTAAGGAAATAACAGCCAAGTTGAGACCTCAATAATAAGAAGGTAGATGTGTAAGGACATGGTGGAAGGCGTAAGTGACAGTAAGTGCAAGGCATTGAGATGGACAGCCTTAGCCTGTAGGAGAGAGAGCAAGCAGCCTCATCATGTGGGACTATGTGGATAGCTATTAGAAGTCCCCTTCAGCTTAATAGCAACAAGAAACCATACTCAACTTAAGCAAAAATAGTAGAATTTTACTTCGAGGTGACTAAATTCAGAATTGTATTCTTACCTTAAACAATATGGTTCTTGATTCTATTTTTTTTTTCTATTGTAGGTAAAAATCAGATAATAGTTGATTTTTACAAAATCCATCACCTTTACAAGACAGTAAAACTTCACATTCTGCTTTTTGAAAGGGTAACTATTACTAATGCACCATCTTCTTACCTAACATCAATATCTAAGTTTTCTTGCTTGCATTGTTTTATGCCTTCAAGTATGGATTCCACGTAAATCTTCTTCGTCATTCCTGGAAAGAGTGCAGAGGAACATATGTAAAGACATTATCATCTATTTCATCCTTCAAACAGCACCACTCTATGCTGTGCTAGGGCCTGGTTAAAGGTGAGTGAAGTGTAGCCTTTAGTGAAACTTTTTTTCAATATTTTATCTGTGTGTGTACGCACATATGCACACATATTCACATGTGTATGAGTACCTATAGAGGCCAGAAAAGGGCATCAGATCTGGAGCTGGAGTTACAGGTTGTGGTGAGCCACCTGATATGGGTGCTGAGTCCCAAACTGGTCCTTTTAAAGAACAGAGGGGCTCTTAAGTGTTGAGTCATCACTCTGGCCCCAAGGCAAAATGTTTAAGTTTAGTATTCTTTGGCTGTCTGTGGACCTGGAGACTGAACTTAAGCCATCATGTTTGCTAGGCAAATGCTCTACCACCGAGTCACATTCTTATTCCCAAAAAATGTGGCCCAGGCTAGCCTCAAACTCACCATCCTCCTGACCTCTTCAGAATATCCTACCATTATGTGCTATCACAACAGGCTATTTCAGTTAATGACTGGACTTCAGGAAAACCAAAAAGAGAGTTTAAAAAAAGTTGAGGGGGGAAAAAAAAAACAAAAGCAACTTTAGGAATAATAAATGCTTTATAAAAATGTTCATAAACAAAGGTAAAAGTAACAAAAGACAGAAAATAAAAAGACCAAAATGACAAGCAATAGAAGCCCAAATGAAAATTAATCTTTGTCCTCTGACTTCCACATGTGTGCTATGACATATTCCTCATACAAAAGTAATAACTTTTTAACTTAAAAAATAAGTAAGATCCAGTCATGGTGGTGCTACCTTAATCTTGGCATTTGGAGGGCTGAGGCAGGAAGATCTGAAGTTTTAGGTCAATACAGGCTACACAGTCCCTGGTTTCAAAACAGCCAAATAAGCAAATAAAAATATTTTTCCTTTAGCAGGATGTTTTTCTCCTCTTCTAGGAACTCTGCTTAGGATGTGCCTCTCATCCATGGCCTCAGAAATGGCATTCCAAGTTTAGAGTGCTCAAGTCTTCCCTGGGGTGCCTTGTAAGACTTCCAGAAAAGACTCTAAAACTGCCTTTTACTTGTCATGCTCTCTCTCTCTCTCCCTCTCTCTCTCTCTTTTGAGAACTTTCAGTATATTTACTACTGTATATATGTTTAGCAGATGAAATGCCACTAGCTTTATATGTTCAGTAATTTAACACTGCATTAGGTAATTCCACCTGGAAGTGTCTTTGCAAACAGACATTTTTTTGGGAGATAGGATTTTTGTTGTTCTGGTTGGCCTAGAACTCACTATACAGACTGGGCTGGCCTCAAACTCAGAGAGATATGCCTGCCTCCACATCCCAAGTGCTGGAATTAAAGGTATGTGCACTACATCTGGCTGTGAATATTTTTTTCTTAGTTTGTTTGTGTTTTATGTTATATGTTCCCACACATAGGTATGCACATGCTATATTTTATAACTTGAAAGTGATTCTAGTTTAAAACTGTGAGATAAGAATCTCCTTTTCCCATTTTAACATTTACTTTAATAGTTTCAAATACTTCTTAACTGGCTATACATGTTTTAGTGTAAGATAACCTAGGGCTCTTCAGGTCAAGAGGAACTCAATAGTAACATATAACATCTCAAGATTACAAAACAAAACAAATCCCCCTGCTCCTGAGATCCTGACCATGTAGCCAAGGACAGGCAGAAACTATTCTCTCATTTCTGCCTTCAGAGTGTTATAGGTGTGAGACACTATGCCTGGCCTGATAAAGCTCTTATGGAAGGTTCTATGAAATTCATGCAAACCATATCCAGTTCAACTCTGTCCCCAAAGGGCTTAACACTTTACAACTTGTTTCCAACCTAATACTATTAGTCACTGAATACCTGACATTTCAGTGACTGCAATATTATAGTACTGTATAGCCACTTAAGTGACATCATTTCACAAGTGCAGGAACAAGAACAGCCTTTACTGGAGACAACGCAAAAGTGATGTCCTTTGTGTGTATGTGCAAATCTGTGATGAGGCCGGAGGACAACCCTAGCTATTCCTCCTCAGGTGTTTCACCTTGCTTTCTGAGACAGATTCTCACTAGCAAAGGACCTACCTGCTAACTGGCTGCCTGCCTATCAAGCCCCAGGAATTTGCCAGTCTACACCTCCCTAGTGCTAAGATTGTAAGAGCGCTGTGCCCAGTCTTTTTATATGGCTTCTGGGTCTTGAACTCTGACCCTTATGCTTACAAGACAAGTATTTTACCAACTGAGCATCTCCTCATGTTGTTCTTTTCTTGAAGAAAACAAAACAAAACCCTAAACGAGGAGGATTAGAAGATTAAAGAGGTGGTATTTCCCCTTCTTTATCAAAGAGTGCCCACATGGGCTTTCTATGTCTGATTTAAGATTAACTTCACAATGAGCATCACTGTGGCTCAGAAGTACATCACTTGCCTACAATATATTAAGGCCCTGGACTTATTTAGCAGCATCATATACATTGTTTAAAAGCCATTTTCAGCTAATCTACATCGTAAGATTATTATTATTTTGTTGTTGTTGCTGAGTAATCAGCAACAGCTGAGTGATCAGAACATACAGCAACAGGACAATACATTCACTGAGAAGTAATTAAATTCTACCAGTAGCATGTTCTCCTCTGGGTGTGCTCCTCAGCTCCAGGTATTTGACACCGTCATCTGCAAATTCTTTAATGACATCTTTTGTGACCTGATAATAAAGGCAATGTACACGATGTTGACAATTCCAGTGAAAACGGCCAAGAGCTACAGTTTGATTTCACTTATTAAACTTGACTGGCAAAGGATGTAGGATGTCATCCCCAATGTAAACCATGGTAGTTCAGCAACAGTTCCCATGACTTCACTCCCATGTAAAAACTAAGTCTGCATATTAACCATACTTTCTGTTTTGTTTTTTTATTTCTGTTTTGATTTTTTTAAATTTTTGAGACAGGTGTGTGTGTGAGAGAGAGAGGAGAGAGAAAGAGAGAGAGAGGGATGGGGGTGGGGAGGGTGGGGGTGGGGTGTCAGTCTTGCTAGGCAGTCCAGGCTGGCCTTGAATTTGTGATCTCCTTGAAAGCTGAATTATAAGCATGTGTCACATTTTTCCTTAATGGCCTGGTGAACACCTGTAATCCTAGCACTTGAAAAGTGAAGACAGGAAGACTGGGAGTATGAGGACAGCCAAGCATGGGACCTGTCTGAACTATATGAAAAGGGGGAGGGGGAGAGGAGGAGGGGAAGAGGGAAGGAGAGGGGGAGAGAGGGAGGGAGAGTAAAGAGAGGAAGAGGGGGAAAAGCGAGGGAGGAAGGAATGAAAAATAACGTAATGCCCATCTGAGGTCAAATATTTCTTTTCTGAAGGTTTATTTTTATTTTATGTGTACAAATGTTTTTCCTGCTTGCGTGCCTGTGCACCATGTGTGTGCAATGGCCTCAGGATGTCAGATCCCCTGGACTGAAGTTACAGAGAGTTGTGAACCACATCATAGGTGCTGGGAATCAAAACTGTGTCCTCTGGAAGAGCAGCCAGTACTCTTAACCACTGAGCCATCTCCCAAATATTTCAAAACTAGGACCAGGCTTTCCTGCCTATGTGATTCCGTATCCAATGAAAGAAGTTTGACCTTGGTTCTTTACTCATTCCCTCCTTTTCCCTTCTACTCCCTTCCTCACTTCTTAAACAATAACAGACCTAACAATAGCTTGTAGGCCAATGTCTTATACTGTCATTACAAAAATTTAAAAATTAATGGAAAGAAACTTGGAGGGAAAAAAAAAAAAAAAAACATTTTCATCAGAATCCTAATGAAACCAAAAGATCCTATGCAATGAGAGATGTACATTACTTCAAAATTCACTATTCTAAAATTCCTTCCATGTCTCACCATTAGAATATCTTCAGCACTAGTAGTAAGCTGGTGAATAACTTGGAACATCTGGAAACATCTACAAATGAACAAAACATTTAAATACACTTTAACCAACAAAAACTTGTTACTCAAGAACAACTCCCTACAAGGAACTAATGAGTAAATGTTAGGTTAATTTAAGGTACATATTTAGACTTACAAAGAACTACAGGATAGATTCTTTTTAAAAATTACATTGATCTAGGAAGCCAATTTAAGAGCTAAAAATAAGATTATTTGTTTATATTTCAAAGTATGAAATAATAATTCCCATTCTCTAATCCTCCAGCAATAGCAAATAGGGATATATCTATATGCCATTATTTTCTAATTTAAGAAGCAGCTCAATATAGTATAACCTAACAAATACTATCAGTATGCTGACAGCTGGGAAAATGCTGTATGTTAGGCTGTGTTTTCCATGCCAGATGTCTATCTTATTTAAGTATTAAAATCTGATTCCTACATATTACAATTTTAAAATACTGACACACAAAAAATTCTCATGACCTCCCCAAACTCACTCTTCTAAAGTCCTTTTCTTTCCCTTGTCAATCATGGTCATGTGATCATGAACTTTAAGATGTGGCTTCTTGGCTATTAATTTCTTCATGGTATTGGAACTAATGGAGCCATTCAGGTGGGCATGAAGCTCCTAAAACAAGAGAATATATTATTAGTAAAAAAAAAAAAAAAAAAAAAAAAAAACCAAGTATCTATTAGATTCACAGTCCTACACCAGGCGTTGGTTGTTTGTAGTTTGTACTAGGCAAGCTACTTGATTTAGTATTTACCCATAAAATTTACTTTTCTTTTGTGGAAAACAATGTAAAAGTTATTATGTAACAAGAATTCTGAAGTTCTTACCACTTTTGGCAATTCCATGTAAAAGTCTGTCTTCTGCGGCCACTTCTGTCCTTCTGCCTCCATCCTTTCAGTAGGAGGCAAAGATTCCTCTTCACTCTTACTCTTGGCTTGGACAATACTTAATCAGAGCTTCTGAGGTCCTGGACTTTCTTCAGATTGTTTTACTCACACATGTTTTAATAAGACTTGCTTTATGTGTAGTTTGGGGATCAAAATTCACCTATATTAATGGATGTAAATATTTTCAGATGCTAACAAAGAAACAGCACTGCTACGTTTTCCCACCCTTTCCCCAGTTAATCTTAGGTGTTTCTGAAGTGGGGAATGACTAGTTAAGAGTATGAACAAGAAATAAGAAGTATTGAAGCTAGTAAGAGGTATATTAAAATTCAGAGTTAGTCAAAGCTCAGGATCCCACTTCTTATCCATTTGTTCCTTTCATTTCTTATCTACTGGGTAATGTCAGGTTAATGTGCACATGTAGCATGTATTTGCTTTCACAAGAAAATACTTTTTATTTCACATTCATGCTGCAACAACACCTTCCTTAAATGGGCTAGGTCTGTCCAGGACCTGATTTGGGCCCAGATCCTGTGTCTGGGTGGAGGCTTGAACTTACTGTCTCCTCTCCTCTGGGTACTAATGCTTCCATCGATATAGCCTGCACTCCTGCTACAGAAACTGCTCCCCTAAGATCACTAATGAGCTTCTGAACACCAAAACATTTTTCAATCAGCTAAAATCCAAAACTCACACTTAGTTGTTTTGTACTACTGCTCTGAGTTAAGGATTCTTAAAATCATCCTAATTTCCGTTCCTAATTCAGCCCAGACACAAAATTAATTAGTGATAATGTTTCTACATGCCTCTCGGAGTGCTTTCTTACTGATAACTCCCAGGCACCCAATCTAGAAACTTCATTTTAAACTCCAACCTGAGTTACTCTCTTTAGAAAGGGGGGGGGGGAGGACTCAACATGCCACAGGGAATAATTGCATCTCTTTCAATAGCTATTTTCAGCAGACATACTCAACACCGCATAAGAATCGCAGAATTTTGGAAGTGGAGGAGAAAGTCATTTTATAGCTGGACAGAGTGAATACTTAACTCACCGCAGACCTAGCATAGAACTGTGAATACTTGAATGGGTGCAGGAGTCTAAATTCCAAGTAAATATCTGTAAAGGTCTCATTCGTCACTTTCCATATGACCCAATTTAAGATTTAAATGAATTCTCCTTCGCAATGAGAACATTCAATAAAGAAGATATTGTTATGTTTGTTTTCTTTTCTAAACAGGGTTTTTCTGTGTAGCCCTGGCAGTCCGGGAACTCTGTAGACCAGGGTGGCCTCGAATTCACAAAGATTAGCTTCCCTCTGCCTCCCATTGAAGGCGTGCGCCACCACCGCCCGGAAAGAAACTATTACTTTCGCGCAAACAACAATCTATTCTTGCCTGCTAAAGATCCGCGGTGCTCGTCCTTTGCAGGAAGTCGGGTTGTCAGGACCCGATTCGCCTAAAAATGTTCTCAAATACGAGAATCTACAGGACTTTTCCCCTCATGCCGAAATGTCTATAGAAAAGCTGGCACGAGCTCCTCACACTCTAGCTGTCACCTAAGCAGAGCGCGTGTTCGCGGGAAAACGTGATTCGGAAAAAAAAAAAAAAAATCAAAATGCCTCTCGCGGGTTTTGGTAAAGCGCGCTCTGCTCGGAAGTGACGCAACCAGCACCCGGAAGCGGACGAGCACCGGCCCAGTGAGTATTTTGTGTGGAGGTTCGCGGAGTGGTCATGGGCTCGCGAAGCCGCGAGCGCCGGGCGGGATCGGTCCAGAGCACCAACGACAGCAGCGCCCTCAGCAAGCGATCGCTGGCTGCACACGGATACGTGCGCGACGCCTTCGCGGCGTTGCTGGCTCCGGGACCCGTACGGCGCACGCCGCTCATCCACCGCGGCTATTACGTGCGCGCGCGCGCCGTGCGTCACTGCGTGCGCGCCTTCCTCCATCGCACTGGCGCGCTCCCGGCCCCGACCCGGGCACAGATCCTCTCTTTGGGTGCAGGCTCCGACTCGCTGTACTTTCGACTGAAGGCTGCGGGCCTCCTGGCCCGGGCTGCCGTCTGGGACGTGGACTTCCCGGACGTGTCTCGGCGCAAGGCGGAGAGGATCAGGGAGATCCCGGAGCTGTGCTCGCTCACAGGCCCTTTCCACATCGGGGACTCAGCGTCCCCTCTGTGCTTTGAGAGCTCGGACTACCGCATCCTGGGCGCGGACCTGCGTGAGCTCCCGCGATTAGGCGAGGCCCTGGACTGCGCGGGCCTGGACGCCACCTCACCCACGCTGCTCCTGGCCGAAGCGGTGCTGACCTACCTGGAGCCCGCCGGTGCCGCGGCCCTCATCGCCTGGGCCGCCCAGCGTTTTCCCGACGCCCTTTTCGTAATCTATGAGCAGATGAAGCCGCGAGACGCCTTCGGGCAAATCATGTTGCAGCACTTTCGGCGGCTGCACTCTCCCCTGCACGGCCTGGAGGTCTTTCCCGACGTGGAGGCCCAGGTGCAGCGCTTCCTTCAAGCTGGCTGGACTGCCTGCAGCGCCCTGGACCTGAACGAGTTCTATCGCCGCTTTCTCCCCGCCGAGGAGCGTCGGCGGGTCGAGACCCTCGAGCCCTTTGATGAGTTTGAGGAGTGGCATCTGAAGTGTGCCCACTATTTCATCCTGGCAGCATCTAGGGGAGACATTCTGTCGGAAACTCTGGTGTTTCCACCCCCAGAGGCACCTTTTCGGATAGATCCTGCTTCACCTTCAGGGTTTTTTTCTGCCAGAGTAGTCTCTAGTGACAACCAGCACTCAAGCCTGAAGAGATACGGCCACACTTCTGTCCTCTTGAACCCTGGCATCATTTTCAGTGCAGGAGGCTTTGGAGAACAAGAGGGGCGACACTGCCGAGTGAGCACGTTTCACTTGCTTTCGAGATCCTGTGACTCTGAATGGAAAGGCAGCCAAATAAGTGTTTTGGGGACTGGAGGCCAGTGGGATGGACGCCTTTATCACACCATGACAAAGCTTTCAGATACTCAGATTCTGGTTCTCGGAGGGAGACTGTCCCCAGTAAGGCCAGCTTCCAGGGCTCTCCAACTTAATTTAAACGGAAGTGAGGATAATTGTCCTGAGAGTCAGAATGTAACAGTAACAAAGGCTGCCTTGGAGGAAGGTCCCATGTCACGTTGGCGGCATTCAACAACGGAAGTGTACTATCAGAATCAAAGATACTTATTTGTGTATGGTGGCCGAAGTGTGGTAGAACCTGTACTAAGTGACTGTCATTTTCTTCACGTAGAGACAATGTCTTGGGTCAGAATCCCAGTAGAAGGGGCAGCCCCGGAGGGTCGGCATTCCCATAGTGCCTGCAGTTGGCAAGGAGGAGCACTTATCGCTGGAGGGCTTGGGGCTTCTGAAGAACCATTGAGCTCTGTACTCTTTCTCAGACCAATGCCCTCTGGATTCCTCTGGGAATCAATAGCTATCCAGCCCCCCATTACCCCAAGGTACTCTCACACCGCGCATGTATTTAATGGAAAGCTACTTCTGGTTGGAGGGGTCTGGATTCATTCCTCTTCAGTTCCCGGAGTGACTGTTATCAATTTGACAACAGGGTTGAGCTCTGAGTGCCAGCTTGACACAAAATCGGTGCCATGGCCGCTAATGTTGCACAACCACAGCAGTGTCCTGCTTCCTGAAGAGCAGCGGGTCCTGCTCACTGGAGGTGGAGGGAACTGCTTTTCCTTCGGTACTTACTTCAACCCCCACATAGTGGCAGTAGAGCTTTCATCCTTAAGTACAGGGCAATAAAGACTGGACTCTTGGTATAAGAATGAATTTGGTTGTAGCTATTGCCACCCCCCCACAACACACATCCTTTCTTACTACACTATTGAGTACAGAACACGAAAAAGGTAACTAAAATGAATACCCACAATGAGATGGTACAAAAATAAAACAGTCAAGGAATATTCCCACTTCCTAGGAGCCTCAGCGTCATGTGTCCAGTTTATTGGGTTTCTGTCAATTTTCAGACCTTAGCTATTTATTGAGTCACAACAACCTGAGACCTAAGTAAAAAAATTTCCAAACCTTGGTCTGTGGCCTAGATTATATTTTTGAAAAAGTTTCTCACAGATCCTTGGTAAGAATACGAGGTTGAATATAGATCAGGAATATAGCATTGACCTGTATGTAAATCTGAAATGAACACTGCAGTTTAAAGACTTAAACTTTCAGTTTGAACACAGGACTAGCTTAACAATGAGAAAAAGTACAACGAAAGTTGCACATTTGATCACCTTTTTGCTAATGTTTTGTAAGTGTTAATAAGCCAGACATTTAATGCCTTAATTTTGTACCTGCCAGAATTTCTGTTTCTCTCATGGTCAGCCATCACTGTTCTGAGCCCCAGGCAGTGTTGTCACAGCTCTCCTAGTTTGCAGTTGAGTTCCACAGGTCAGAGGAACTATAAGAAGGAGGAGGAGCAGGGGTGGAGCCTCAGCAGTTGTGGCCCTTCCCCTGCCAGTCTGCAGGTTGACATGGTACCTTCTGTCAAGGCCATAGCTGCTGTCATGTTACCCAGGCCTTAACTGATTAGGCAGAGCGCTAATACTGCATTGCTTCTGGCTTTAGGAATTGTTTCTTTCCCCTAACCTGTTCAGACCTAGGAGTTGTGCTGACTCCTTGCTGGAGCTGACCTGCATTCCCCACTACTATATTGGTTACTTTTCTTTCTTTTGCTGTGAAGAAACACCATGACCAAGGCAACTTACAGAAGGATGGGTTTATTTGGGTTTTTGGTCTCAGAGACAATAGTTCGTCATGGCATGGTGGCTGGAAGCAAGAATGTTAAGAACTCATATCCTTTCCCATAAGCACAAAGCAGAGAGCAACCTGCAAACAGGAGAGGCCTTAAGGTCTCAAAGCACAGCACCACCCCCACCCCACCCCACTGCGAGCCACTGTACCCATTCCCACCTGTGCTGTATTTCCTTTAGCAAAGACACACCTCCTAAACTTCCCCAAACAGCACCACCATCTGGGGACCAAGGGTTCAAATCCATGATCCTATTCTCATTCAAATCACCACAGGTAGCAATTAGCAATTTGTAACAATTTAAAAACATTAAATATTATGATTGTAATGTACTTTATAATCTATAGGCATTAAATTCCTCTCAGTTATCCCTAAAATGATGTGATAATCCATCTGTTTCTACTGGGTTTTGGATAAATTAATGGCATTTCTGAAATTGTGAGACAATCTGTCAAGTATGTTGTATATAACATGATCTTCATAACGAGGAGGTGGTGCCTTCATAGAACTGTTAGACCAGTGTGATTCTGATTGTGGTAGTGTCTTTTATTAACCATTAATACCAACTTTTTTTTAAAAATGTATTTAGTATGTATACAGTATTCTGCCTGCATGTATCCTTGCAGGCCAGAAGAGGGCAGAAGATCTCATTACAGGTGGTTGTGAGCCACCATGTGGTTGCTGGGAAATGAACTCAGGATCTTTGGAAGAACAGCCAGTGCTTTTAACCTCTGTGCCATTTCTCCAGCCCCCTAATACCAACTTCTTAATGAACTTCATGACATGGAGTCCTTTTTCTCTAAAGGTTTTTTGTTGATGGCACAGAAAATGGATGTGAAGGGTAGTTAGTATTAAAACTAAGTAGGCCTGTAATTTAACACAAACTTTATGTTAAACTAACATGAGACTTTATAATGAACCTTTCTAGAAAAGTCATTGATTATGGCCAGGCATGAGTCTTGGAATACAGGACCGCCCACATCTGGCAAGACTCTCAGTGTGTCAAGTGCTAGATGATTGACAGCAGCATGATTGGTGTGTTTCTTGTTTGTAAGTAAGTTTACCACTGTCTACTTCCAGCTTTCAGGAGCAAGTCAAAGGAGAATGTTGTGAAATTAGTGTTCTCAACTGTGGAGCAGATAGTAAGTACCAGAGTCCTGACTACAAGCCCATTCCATTGGGCTAGTATGTCATCAGTCATTATAATTTCATTACTGTGCACATAAGAAGGTGCAGGGAGGTCATCACAAGAAGGCTGGCATGCACCAGAGCCAAAGCAGTGCAGCAGGGCCTACTCTCTTGAACAGTGCTGGGAAGCTCATTATGAGTAATTAGGTTTAGGCTTGTTCCTTCAACAGAACTAACCTGTGTTTTCTGGAAGTAATTATAAGATTTAGCATGCCTTCCAACTTCAACCGTGTTTTTGCAACATGCTTAGATAAACTCTTCTTAATTAGAACACTTAGCAGTTTTACCAGAGCATTTGCCTCATGACTTTGGAGCAGCACTCTGCATGTACTGGCTAAGCATAGGTGCTGGGCTAGTTCCACAGATGGCCGTCTCTAGCAGTTGGTGAGAAGGGTCACACTGAGAAATAGAATTGGATGATAGCTTCTGCTTCTCTCTCTCTCTTTCCCTCTCTTTTGTAATTTTGTTTTAAAATTCTACCATTAGGCTTTGGGATAATTTTGAGAATTAATTTTAGTGATTGTCTTTCCTCTTTTCATGATTTTTCCTTCCATACCAGAATAAAAGTAGTAAGGAAAAAAAACAGCATACTCTATTAGAATAAGAAAACAAGGTTTGAGGCTGGAGAAGTGGCTCAGCAGTTAAGAGGACTGAGGACCCAGGTTTAAGTAGAAGTATCCATATGGAGGCCCACAACCAGTTCCAGGGGACCTCCCCCACACCCTCCTCTGGCCTCCAAAGGCATTAGGCACAGACACACAAGCGGGCAAAGCCTCAAATATATTTTTTTCCCCTAAGAAGTCTAAGAACAACTGCTTCAGTGCTGGCTTTGGCAGCGCGTGCGCTAAAATTGGAATGATACAGAGAAGAGAGGGATGGGTCCCGTGCAAGGATGACAAAATTTGTGAAGCTTTGAAAACAAACGATAGGACCCACACGTGTTCCTAGGTATGTTCTTCAGAGGTTAAGCTTCCCTCTGAGGTTTTCAACTTGTCCACTGTTGAAAGCCAGGGCAAACCAACACTTTTGTAGAGGCCCTAATGAAATAACCAAAGGAACCTAGTTCTGTGTCCTTGCCCAAGAGCAGACTTGGCAAGGCCAGTCTGGGGCTGGTGGCCAGGGCCTCGAGAACTTGGCTTTTCCCCCAGAAGAGACTAGACTTATCTGTCGGTCAGTCTCAAGGCTGCTGTGTGCTAGGCCTGTAATGCTCTTGAAATACCTTGTTTTTCCTTTGTGCAACATTGTTTGGTTATCCCTGCTGACTGTGTCCCATTGTATGACATTTTCCGCTGCTCTGTCCTATTTCTCCCCTGGAAATAGTACATGAGGTGCTGTACTAAGGCATGCAAGTAGTCAGCTTATCCAATACTTCCTGCTGCCGAACTTTCCTATGTTTAACTTCTCACCTCCTGACCATCACTCAATACTCTGTCACTGAGGAATGACCTACTGGTCCAGGTCAGTCCACCTGTCATCTTTCTGCAGCTTTAATCCTTCCGAGTGGTTAGGAAGATGGATCAGATATGTTCCCATGCATCTGTCCCACAGGTATCTCTTTGATGATCTTTTTCAGTCTTCTGCCTTCACCCCCCCCCCACCACCTTACTGTAAGAGCACTGGGGTTAGAGATATGCACAGTAGGGTCAGGCTTTCTTAGGTTTTTCGTGTACTTTACCATCTCCTCAAGTCCCAAGCCCAATTCTTTCAAATTCAACTTTCTTAGCCTGAATAAGGGGGCTAGACTTTCTGGTGTCACTCCTAGCTTTATTTATTAATTTGTTTGTGTGGGTGGGTGGGGATGGAGGTGTGCACCCACGCATAGGAATAAGATGGTGTGGAGGCCAGGGTATAACTTGTAACAGTTGGTTCTTCTTCTGCCATATGGGTTCCAAGGGCTGGATAGGTCATCAGCCCTTGGCAACAAATGCCTTTACCCTCTGAGCCATCTCACCAGCCCACTCCTAGCTTTATGGATTGGATCCAAACCTCCTGGATTGCAATTTGCAGCTGATCCTCAGCCTTCTTTGCTTAACAATTGGTCTATGGTTACCCCAGATCCTTTTGAGATAAGATGAATTAACTTGGCCACAAAACTAATCTGAAAGACCAGGAACATGCAATTAAAGATGCCTGTGAGCACTTGCAGGAGCTTCCAGAATGCTGTGGTGCTTCACTGGGCATGACCTGGTATGTAACTCTCAACATGAGTTTAACAGAAGAAAGACTTGTCCTCATTTTTCTGTGCAAAGTCATTTGCTACCTAACCAGAAGATCAAAGCTACTAAATTGTAGTAATAATGGTTTTAAGATATTGCACAACCCTCTGCCTTTCTCGTTTCTTAGTTTATTCACACTTTCAGGCTTTAATCAGAGTTCCAATCTAAGATTTATATCTACTACCTCTACTAGCCAAGATGATCTTTCTTATTTATGAGTAAATTAGAGCCTTAACTTATATGTAAGGAAAAAATGAGCCAACTCCTTTCGTCCTTACCCCAAATACACAATTAAAAAAGTAGAATCCAGAGAATCCAGCTAGACAATGGTGGCACATGCCTTTAATCCCAGCACTCAGGAGGCAGAGGCAGGCAGATCTCTGTGAGTTCAAGGCCAGCCTGGACTACAGAAAGAGTTCCAGGACAGCCAAGGATACACAAAGAAACTCTGTCTTGAAAAACCAAACAAACAAAGTAGAGTCCATAGCTCAATTTATCAAATTTACAAATACAATATTTTTATTACTAGAGCATAGTACAATAAGTGTGCTAAAATTTTAATTGCAGGAATGGTTATGTGGTTTAGTTAAGCTAAAATCAGTAATGAATTAATAGTAAATTATAATGTTTAAAGCAGAGATTATATTTTGGCATGATTGTACATGCTATACCTCTAGACTGAGGCAGAATGATTATACATTTGAGATTAGTCTGGGGAACTTTGCAAGACTGTTTCAAAACAAAATAATAACAAGAAAAGACTGTTGGGCTGGGCATGCAGATCAGTTGGTAGATTGCTTGCCTAGTATGTACAAAGCATAAATTCTATTTTCTGCACCATATAAGACCTTGGAGTGGTGGCACACATCTGTCATTCCAGCATGTAGGCAGTGAAGATAGAGACAGGAAGATTGGAAGTTAAAAGTTAACCTCTGCTACAGAGTGAATTTGAGGCCAACATGGTCACTATATTTTTGTTTTCAGGTGGTGATCTCTCATTTCCCAACATTTCATTTTAAGATAGTGTGTATAGGTGGAGTTTTCCTGTCCTGAAGCCGCTCTCAAATAGTCATTCAGGCTTATATTAATTGTAAATGCTCAGCCAATAGCTCTTATAGTAATAGTTATTACTAATAGCTCTTATATTTCAAATTAACCCCTATCCCTTATTTACGCTCTGCCATGTGGCAGTACCTTTATTAGTATGACACATTTATCTCCTGTTCGCTCTGTATATGACTGGCGAAGTCCTGACTCTGTCATCCTCTCCTTCCCAGCATTCTCAGTTTGGCTTTCTCGACTAACCATATTCTGTTCAACTATTGGCCAGTAAGCTTGTTTATTAAACCAATCACAGCAACACATTTTCACAGTGTACAAAGGGATTATTCCACAGCAAGTGTGTGCCTGTGTGTGTACGTGTGTGTGTGTGTACGTGTGTGTACGCGTGTGTGTGTATGTGTGTACAAGTTTGTACATAGGACACAGCACATGTGTGGAAATCAGGGGACAACTTGTGGGTGTCAGTTCTTTGCTTCCATTGAGTGGGCCCTGGGGATCAAACTTGGGTCCTCAGGCTGGTGGCAAGCACTTTTATTCATAGTTGTCTTGAAGGCCCTGATCATTTAAATTTTGATTTGCCTCTTTCTTGGAGAAATGGCTCTTTTTTGTTGTTGTTATTGGGTTTTGATTGTTTGTTTGTTGAGACAGGATTTTCTTGTGTAGTCCTGGCAGTCCTGGAACTCAGGTCAACCTCAGATTCAGAGATCTGCTTGCCTCTGCCTTCTGAGTGCTGGGATTAAAGGTGTGCACCACCATGCCCTGCTCCTTTTTAATTTAATCCCTGAAATTAAGTGTGGATCTAGGCATACCAGCACATATTTGTAATCCTAGCCCTTAGCAGCCCAAAGAAGGAGAATAGAGATTTCAAAACCAGCTTGGATTATGCTGTATGACCCCCAGCATTCACATGGTAGAGGGAGAGAACCAACTCTCACAGATTGTCCTCTGGCCTCCACATGTGAGCTGTGTGTTTGTACATATTCATGTGTGATGAGTGAAAGTACAGCTATCCTGGGTAGAAAAAGAAGTGAATATATAAACTTAAGAAGCATGGGTGAGGTGTAGTTACTTACAGCCTCAACCAATGTTTGTGCATCTTGAAGATCTAACTAGAATGAACTGAAAAATGCCCACTGCATAGCTGAGACAATGATAGCTGTGAAAGGAATAGTTTGAATCATGGGACTTGGAGTCAGATAGACCTAGGTTGGATTCCTACTTGATTCTTGGGGAAATGACTTAATCTCTTTAATTCACAGTTCCTAAATCTGCCAAAGGGACACAATAATAACAATGATTATAAACTGATGAGAGAACTATAAAAGATAATGTGAATATAATATTTAACACAATGTGAGGGATAGTCTATACAGCCTCTCTCAAATGCTTTATCCCCAAAGTTTAGTCAATACAGCACTCAATGACTATTTAATATTGTGTTGGGTCTGTGGGGGGAAGTATGGTCTCTAACCACAAGAACACAAGCTGGTATGGAAAGATGGTCTAAGAGCTAGAAGAAATCAGAGGTTTAAAAAATTATTATTGCATCAATGTGCTTGATGTCTATGTGTGCATGTATGAGTTTGGTGCGAGTGTGTGTGTGTGTGTGTGTGTGTGTGTGTGTGTGTGTGTGTGTGCCACAAGTATGTGGATGTCAGAAAACAACTTTGGTTCTCAACTTCCAGAATTAGTTGTAGGGATTGAACTCAGGTCATCAGGCGTGCACAGCAAACCCTTTTGCCCGTCGAATCATCTTGCCTGCCCAAGATAGAGTCTACTAGAAGTTGCTAAGGACATAAAGACATGAACTTCATAGCTGGTCTGTGACAGGAAATAGAAGTTCCTTAATAAAGGAGAGCATCACGAAAGTATTGAGATATGTGGACCAGCAGAAGCCTGGAGTCAGGCCAAGGGAAGATGCAAAGGGGGATCATAGGCTTTGGTGGAAGAAAGATGGATCCAATACAACAATCACAGAACAAAATGGGATGCCCAAGTCTCAGCAGAAACTAACACAGGACATGTCAGGATCAAACCAGACACATGATATCCAAGACCAAAGGGGAGTCAGAGAACTGTGCTCCTGTGCATATGAGGGTATGTAAGCTCCCTCTATGCTTAAAACCCATCTTAGGAAGACAGCAATGAGTGGGAAATGTCTTTGAATTATAAAAGTACTCTGGATAGAGTTTCTGAACTAACCAAAGTGACAGTGACAGACACATAGGTTACTTAGTTAGCAAACAGAGTTCCAGAGCCTGGGTCCTCCATCACCACACTACATTCAGACAGATTCTGGGCAGGGTGAATTCTCAAAAGCTTGGAAAAATGCAGAATGGAAGTCACAGATGTAAGGAGGGAACCATTGTGGACTCTGATTTGGAGACTTCCATGGTGTTTTAGGAAGTACAGTACAGGATGGGATGAGGAGAGTCGAAAAACAGAACAGAACAGAACAGAACAGAACAGAACAATTAGCAGCAGTGTACATAAACCAGACTAAAAGTAACAGCTGAAAGAGCTGTGGCAATAAAAAAGAAGGAACTCATTCCAGGCATTTGTAATAATAAAATCATCAACAGATTTTATTTTAAGTATGTGCCAGCCCCACACTGAACACCACCTAACTTGATTTTCTGGCCATTG